GTGGTGCTGAGGATCTAACTCGGGCCACACGAATGCCAGGCGAGTGCGCTACTACTTGAGCCACATCCCCAGCCCGCCTCTTTATTTTTTATTTTGAGAAAGGGTCTGAGTTGCTGAGGCTGGCCTTGAATTTGCAATCCTCCTGCCACAGTTTCCTGAGTTACTGAGATTATAGGCATACACCACACCTAACTGGAAAAGTTACTTAACATCTCAAAATGTTTTTTCTTGTGTGTGTATGTGTGTGTAGTATGCTTTCCTCACAAGCCTCAAAACATTAGTTTGGACCTTCCTCATAGAATTGTTGAAAGAATTAATATTGGTGGGGATCTTAGAAACAGTGCCTGGCACCCCATTCTTGTGTGCTAGTGACTGTCCTGAGGTAGGCTGTCTAATTTAATCCTTAGAACATAGCATTCATTCCTTTTTACAGAGGAGGAAATAAAGGTAAGACCTAAGAATTGGGTTCCAGGCGTATGTTGCTCTAAAGTCCATACTGTTCTCTGTGCTCTGTGCAGTGTGGTTTGAGTTTCTCCCTATATAATCTACACTTACCTCTGGCAGCTTTGGGTAACTCCTGGGAAGAGGTGCAGTGCCAGCAATGAGTGGAGAGACCTCTTGGCTGGTTGTCTCTTGACTAGACCTAGGGCAGACTGATGGCTAAGCTCTTCTCTGCAAGGTCTTTGGCCAAAGACTTGGCTTCATACTCAGTACATAGGTTCACTACAATGTGCTTTACTAGATGAGTAAGAAGATACTTCTGTCTCTCCCTCAGGTGAAGTTGACAGACTAAATCCTTGGGCTGCTGACTTCAGAAATCCAAAAAGAACTGGAGCAAGTCCAGATTGAAACCTTACACTTTCTCCCTGTAGAAAATGCATGGCCTCCTTTCTCTGCAAGACTTAAAGGATTGGAGGAAGTGGAAAGGATTCTTCCCTTCCTTAAGCTATTTTTTTTTAAAGAGAGAGAGACAGAGAATTTTTAATATTTATTTTTTAGTTCTCGGCGGACACAACATCTTTGTTGGTATGTGGTGCTGAGGATCGAACCCGGGCCGCACACATGCCAGGCGAGCGCGCTACCGCTGGAGCCACATCCCCAGCCCCCTTAAGCTATTTTTTAAAAAATATTCATTCTTCAGAGCCTGGGCATTTTGCCTGAATGGTGAGCTGATTCCCTAAAGTGAGTGGAAATGTCTGAGAATAAATTATTCCAGGGGGAGTGTAAAAGCTAAATGAATCTTTCCAGATTCTGCAGGTCAATCAGACAATTGGAGATGAAAACATCAAGAAGAAATCAAAGTACAGATGAAACAAGCCCAAAACACATTGGTCACTTTGTGCCTCTGGTATCTTTCCAGCTGGTCTAGTTCTAGACATGCCCATTGTCTACTCAGACAGTTTTCCTTCCTTAATTACACTCTTTGTCCTAGAAACAGAGGAGATACAGGTCTCAGCATTGCTACAGTGTCCAAATACTCAAAATACCAAGATTTTTATTTCTTTCTCAGTGACTAAAACATACCCTTTTAGAATCCACAGCTGGCTATTTCTCAAGCTTCTAAGGCAGAACAGACATCCTCATCCAAATGGAAAGGACTAAAACATGTAGCTGAGGAATCAGATAGCCTTAACTAAGAAAACCACCCATTTGACCCAGGCATTCTGTCCTTGAAAGTTATTGATCTACATAAAAATCCACTTCTAAAAATCCATTATATGCAATAAACCAGCAATTGAGTAACCTGGAACAATCCCTGATTCTGCCACTGGCTGAATGGTTGACTTTAGACAAGTCTGTTTCCCTCCCTGGGCCAGTTAACTCATGAGTAAAATGAAGACAAAAATGGATTATCCCAAAAGTTATATATTGATAGAGCCAATCCTCGAACCTAGTTATTCTGACTCTTAATCCACTGACCCCCCACCCCCACCTATCCCTTGTATTTTCATGGTTCTACTAGGACTTTTTATTTTTTAAATTATTATTATTATTATTATTTTTTGCTTGTTTACTCACAGGTACCTACACAAAGCAAGAAGCACTGTTGTAGATCTAATTTATTTTCAGTGCTGGAGTTCAAACCCAGGGCTTCATACATAGCAGGCAGACATTATCACTAAACCACATCCCCAGCCCCCTACTAGGAATTTTTTAACTGGGGCATTCAAAACTAAAAGTATGCTGAAGGAATAAACTACTGACACATGCAACAAAGTGTATAAATAAAGATAAGACACAAGTGAGTATATATTGTACAAGATTAATTGTTTTAATAGATATGGTAATATAAATGAGATTAATGGTTGCTTCTAGGGGAGAATGACTGAAAGAATATGAGGGAACTTTCTGGGGTAATTGACAGAAGGGTGGATTTCATGGGTAAATGCATTTTCAAAACCGATCAGTTTCAAAACTGATCAAATACACAATTAAGATCTGTGTTTCACTGTGTATAAATTAGATCTCAAAGAATCTCTTAGAATATATATACTGAAGTTGTTTAGAAGGGAAGAAATATCACATTTACCAAGCACAAGCCTGTTACAGATCTCTATCACAAACTCTAAAAAGGGATTACCCATTTTATAGGTCAAAAACTGAGGTTCAGTGATGTTAATTCACCAGAAAAAAAATTCACAAAAGACCTTAAAACTAGTAAGTGTAGAAACCCAGGCACAACCCAAGTTTGTCTGCCTCTTATAATAGATTGTCTCAAGGAGGGAGGGAAAGGTATTTTCAGCTTGGAACCAGGAGACTTATGTTCCATTTGATTTCACAGCCATGTGATCCTAAGAAAGTCCAAATCCCCCTGGGCCTCACTCGAGAGAGTCAAATGAAGCTTGTAATTGTTTTATAACCCTGAGGTTATAGCAATCAGACTATCTCCTGTCCTTTACCAGGATGGAGCATTAAGAGCAATTTCCATTTCTTAGAGTAGAGTCATTATGAGCAACAAAAGCCCTTTGACTCCAGTGAGAGGATAAATCATCAACTAGGTTAGTGACACCAGAGCTCGAGTGACAGAATCCAGCTGCCTCCTATTTAAGATAAACCTAACTTATTCTGCAACAAATGTGATGGGAAGGAATGGAGTGGGACATTAGATCTGAATCCTGCTGTTACTCTGCCATGGAGATGGCCTATGACCTGGGACAAAGCACTGCTTTTTCTGGGCCTCTAACCTGCATTTGCTCCAGTATCTTATCCATTTTATGAAACTCTGAGTCCTGTTTCTACATATTATAACAAGGAAAATTGGGCAGCTGGAATCTAATGTGTTTCTCAGATTCCTAAACAGAACCCATGTGGCATTACCTATGTGCTATGGGGAAATATGTATGTATATATACATTTTTTCTTCATATCACTATATATATCCCTCAGCTTCACACTCATCCATTAGTTGCTGATCTTTTATCTTCTGTAATTGAGATTTAGTAATAGGGAATAATTTTATAAATTTATTTTTTGCTTATTTACTCAAACACCTACACAAAGCAGGAAGCTTTTTTAAATGTGTTTGTGGTGATAGGGTTTGAACCCAGGGCTTTATGCATATCAGGGAGACACTCTACCACTGAACCATACCCTCAGCCCAGAAATAGGGAATTCTAAAATCAAAGTATCAGTCTTCACTGGAAAATTCTGTCCACACTCCAATTGGGGTTCAATTGGAAGTCCTGGGACTTCCATTTGAATTCAGAGAAGCATTTTAATATAAGGGCATCTGCTCTTTTGACAGCCTTCCCTTAGTGTTCACCTTGGGAAGAAATCTGAGTTTCTTCTTGTTGCCTGTGGAGACCAAGCAAAAAACCCAAAATAATTTCAGGACTGAAGCTATGAGTTTCAGAAATGTACATGCAATGTTGAGAATGTGTTAAGCTTCTACAGACATCTGGTTAGGGATACCCCAGAGAAGGCTAGAAATAGAGGGTAAAGAGGTTTTGGCTTCTTACTAGCTGTTTGACCCTCGGAAGTCATTTCAACTCTTCAAACTTCAACTTCTCAACTGTAAAACTGGGATAATACCAACAACCTCAAAGGATACTTTGTACAAAGTATGCAGCAAAAAAGGAGAATGAATGAGACAGAGACACAAGGATCCATGTTTGTTATGGTTTAGGTATGAGGTTTCCCTCAAAAGTTCATGTAAGACAATGTAAGGAGGTCTAAAGATGAAATGACTGGGTTATAAGAGTCTCAGCTCAATCAGTGTGATAATCCCTGATAGGTATTAACTGAGAGGTGACTGTAGGCAGATAGGGTGTGGCTGGAGGAGGTGGCTCATTGGGGGCATGCCTTTGAGGTATATATTTTATCCCTGGTGAGTAGAGTCTTCTTTGTCTCTGTATACTACAGTCACGTCTCTGTTTTCCTCTGCTATACTGTTCTGCCATGATATTCTGCCTCGCCTTGAGCTCCAAGGAATGAAGCCAGCTTTCTATGGACTGAGACCTCTGAAACCATAACTTTTCTTCTCTAATATGTTTGTCAGGTCTTTTTGGTCACAGCAGCCAAAAGGCTGACTAAAACACACTCACATATACTTATACACAGGCATATACATACACGCCCTGAAAGACTAGTAAGAAGATTAAATGTGTACTTAGCACAAGGTCCAACTCAATAAACGATAGCTATTCTGCATCAAAGTATAAATGCACAAAGCCTCAGAAGAAACAGAACATTAGAGATCACCTAGACTACTAGTTCTGAAAGAGGTTTCCTGGAGCAGCAGCAACATCATCACCTGGGGACTCATATGAGATGCAGATTCTAGACTCTCACTCCATACCTATGAAATCAAGCAATCTGTGCTTTAGAAACCCCCTCCCAGAGGTCCTGATGTATGCTAAAGTTTGAGAATCAATCATTTAGACAAGAGTTTGACAAACTGTTTCTACAAAGGACCAGAAAGTGTTTTAGCTTTATGGACTCCATTCCAACTACTCTGTCATTGTAGCAGCCATAGATAATATTAAGTGAATGAGCATGGCCCTCCTCCAATAGACATTTATTTACAAAAAGATAGAATGGGAGTTTGAAACTAGGTAAGAGGTTGTGTTTGTACAACATGGTGAATGTACTAAATGCCTCTGTAAAATGGCTAATTCTGTGGTATGTGAAGTTTACCTCAATAAATTATTTTATAAAACACAAGGAGTGCCAGGCACAGTGGTGCATGCCCATAATCCCAGTGTCTCCAGAGGCTGAGTCAGGAGTATCGTGAATTGGAAGCCAGCCTCAGCAATGGCGAGGTACTTAGCAACTCAGTGAGACCCTGTCTCTAAATGAAATACAAAATAGGGCTGGGGATGTGGCTCAGTGAGTGTCCCCAAGTTCAATCCCTGGTAACAAAAAAATAAACAAAAAAAAAAAAGGAGTGAGTAGGATTTGGTTCATGGACAGTAGATTGCTGACCCTTGACCGAGATCAACTTCCAATGCTTTGCATAATCTCATTCCAGGCACACTTATCAGTTATGTAACCTTTACCTGAATACTTATGTCAAGTCACTCACTAACCCACAAAGCAATTTATTTTGTGTATGAACAGACCTCAGTTCCATATGGAGAATTTTTCCATATACAAAGCCAAAATCTCCCTTCCCATGACTTGTACCCATAGAGTATGCCCTAAAAAAATGTAATGATTTAGATATGGTTTAAATGTGTCTCCCAAGGGTTCATGCGCTGGAATCGTGGTCTTCAGTGTGTGATTTTGAGAAGTGATGGGCCCTTGAAGAGGTGATGCCTAGTAGAAGGTGCTTAGGTCACTGAGGGCTTTGCCCTGGGAAGGGATTAATATAGTTCTCTTAGGACCCTTTGAAAGTGGGTTGTTATAAAAAGCACAAGACTAGCCCCTCTCCAATTGCCTGTCTTGCCATGTGGTTTCTCCCTTTCTTATGTGCTCTTGAATGATGTCTTTTGGCATGTTGAGACAAAGCAAAGGGGGCTCTCACCAGAGCTGAGCTTATGCTGGTGCCATGCTCTTGAACCTTCAGAACTGTGAGCTAAATAAACCTATTTTTAAAAAAATCCCTGCCTCAGGTATTACATTATAGCAATAGAAAACAGACTAATACAGAGAATATCCTCATGCTATCATCCCTACTTCACTACCGGACTGCATGATAGATTGCTTTAAAGGATGCGTTCACTCTAACTAAGGACATATAGAAGGGGTACATGCATCTATGCTAAAGCATCATCAGGCAAAGAGAAAATAGAATCTCTTAGTTAAAAATATGCCCCAGGATAGCAGGTTGACATTTCTCCTCTCACCCTCACCCCTCACATACACACACCAGCAACAGCAGTAGCATGTTTTTATTAGAGGATTCCCTGTGTTATCACAAAGATATGTGGTAACAGCTGGCAAGTGCAGCCATGCTACAGAGGAGAGGAAGAACTCTTCCATGTGAGAATGGGTACTTATGAAATCTAAGGGTCTGGGTCTCCTGCTTAACCCTGACAATCTGGAAACTCTTCTCTTTGGCACTCAATATCACCAGTGCTGGGGCATGAAATAATTGCAATAACTAGTTCAACTTGGCCAACAGTTCTTCCAGTTCTGGCCGAGCTTTGAACCTTCCCTTGAAGTCTTCTTCAGTGTGCTATGGAGTAGAAAAGAAAATAGGTAGTAAGTACTATGGAGTTTTTAGTTATTTTTACATGCACAACATCCAAAAAAGAGTCATCAGCTAACTCTGCACAGAATGATTCAGATTTAGCCAACTATTATTGACTTGTATTAGGTACCAGGGATGCAAATTTGAATCAAACTTACTCTTTGCCTTCAATGTACTTAAGAGTCTGTTGCAAGAAGACATAATAAAAGGAACTAATGTTATAGATACTACAAACATAACAACAGAAGTGTGTGTGTGTATATGTGTGTGTGTGTGTATGTGTGTGTTTGTGTTGCTGGGAATTGAACCCAGGGCCTCATACATTCTAGGCAAGCACTCAACTACTAAGCTACATCCCCAGCCTAGAAGCATTTTTTTTTTAAATGTAAAAATTATCCTTTAATAATAGGAAATATCAGCTGGGCACAGGGGGTGGGACACACCTATAATCCCAGCTACTTGGGAGGCCAAGGCAGGAAGATCACAAGTTCAAGGGCAGTCTCAGCAACTTTAGCAAGACCCTATCTCAAAATTTAAAAATAAATACATAAAAAGCACTGGAGATGCAGCTCAGTGGTAAAAAGCTCCAATGAATTCAATCCCTAGTACTGCAAAAATAAATAAATAAATAGACAGATAAATAAAAATTACAATAACACTCACAGGATTGGAATGTTTTAAGTTAGCATGACCAGCACATTCTCTCTGTGTACTATGTGCAACATAAATAACAACCATAAGCTTAACAAGTATAAGACAAGGAGAGCTGGATGAAGCAATGCCACCAGTCTAACATGACCTGATGTGTCTGTATCATTAGAAGAAACATAATGGTGACTGGACTTGAATATCTAGTTTTCAGGTTAAGGTTCATGATGTTTTGCTGCAAGTTTTCCATGCTCAGTCAAACCTCCTTCTGACTGGCATTCTTTACTAAATATATTCAATCAAGCTACAGTCAAGCCTTGAAGGTCAAGGATACTTCTCTCTAAAGTACATTTTTCTATTTGTTTTCTGATTTATTATACTATACATAATCTCATTTTTTGGTGGTGGTGGTACTGCGAATTCAACCGAGGGCCTCAGGCTTAGAAGGTAAATGCTTACCACTGAGCTACAATCCCCAGACCTTATTATTATTTTTATTTTTGAGGCAGGGTCTTGCTAAGTTGCTGAGGCTGGCCTCAAACTTGTGATCCTCTTGCCTTAGCCTCCCAAGTAGTTGGGACTATAGTCATATGCCACTATGCCCTGCTGTATATAATCTTAAACTATGTTCTTTCCACTATACAACTGCCTGAAAAGAGTTAATTTTGAAGTGTAATGGGTTCCCCAGTAACATCAGGATGATGTGATGGAGATCAGTTCCTATGGTCCATAAAGATCATCCCTGATGCCTCAGAAGAGCCAGAGTGATGACCACAGTTCCTTCCACCAGACTGCACTCCTTTCCTGGTTATTATCTGGGCTACATTACCCACATTATCCACATCTGTTGATTCTAAAGCCACGAAGTTCCCCCCCACCCCCAACCACCTCCTTTTTTCCCACTGCTGGGGATCAAACCAGCACTTTTACATACTAGGCAAACACTCTGCAATTGAACTATATTCCCAGGCCCAGATGTTCTTATCTTTATTTTGGGCAAAAGTAGACCACCAAGGGGCCTCTTTCCAAACTAGCACCTACCTCCCTTACTGACAATCTGACTCCTTCAGGAAGATTGCTTTGGAGTATTTCCAAGAAAATCTCTGCAAATGTAGCACTCAAACCGCTGATCTGCAAAATGAAAGAAGACACTTTAAGGAAGGGTGCTAAAAGCCAGGTGATTGGGCACATATGGCCAAGGTTCAAATGCCAGCTCCAGTAGGGTAAAGATGAACACCCAGAGCTAGTTCTGAGCATGGCCCCTGTAAGATTTTTCTTCCCATTTGCCAAGGTGTTTGCTTGCTGAGATGGCCAATGACAATACCTGTTCCAATAGACAATGGACATCACAGCTGGACCAAGAAGTTATCAAGTCAATGCTAACTTTCTGATGCAAACCCAGGTTTACCCCCACAGACTACTGACTGGTATCAGTACTTGTGCCAAGAATCTAGAGGCGAATCAGATGTGCAGTAGGAAGGACTGAAGGGTGCTGTGAGAACCCACAAGAGAAATACCTACCAACTCAGGGAAGGTTAAAGGAAGCTTCAGGGAAGGTGACATCTGGGTGAAGTCTTGGAAAAAAAAAGGATTAAAACTGGGAGAATTCAATAGTAGTACGGAGAGTTGTTGAGACAAGGAAAACAACATTCTGCAAATGTGGAGACATACAGAGTCAGGGAATGAAAACCAGTTCCTTGGAGCTGAGATTGTGGCTCAATGGTAGAGCATTCACCTAGCATGTGCGAGCACCACATAAAATAAATAAATAAAATAAAGATATTGTGTCCAACTACAACTAAAAAATATTAAAAAAAGAAAAGAAAAAGAAAGAAAACCAGTTCCTTAAAGGCTAAAGCAATGAGATATGAAGAGGAAAAGCAGAAGAATCATAAAGGCACCTGAATGCTACAGAGTTCATACTTTATTCTATGAGTCTCAGTGGCAAGTAAGAACTATCATAAGTATGCTGCAAATAACTTATTCCTGCTAATCTACAAAAGAATTCTAAATGCTTTAATTGTTTTTTACATTTGCATATTTAGAATTAAGGTGTTGCCCCCTTAGCATTCCTTTTATTACTTTGCTGATGCTGGTATGTTTCTTCAGTAGCTTAAAAAGAAAAAAAAAAAAAACAGGGAGATGCCATAGAATGGAATATTATTTGGCAATAAAAATGAATAAAGTATTGACAAATTACAATATGTATAAACCTTTGAAACACTATGCCAAATGAAAGAAGTCAGACACAAAAGGCTGTATATTGTACAATTCTATTTAAATGAAATGCCCAGAAGAGGTAAATCTATAAAGACAGAAAATAGATTCGTGGTTGCAAGGGGCTGGATGGACCAGGAAAGAGGAGTGACTGCTAATGGATACAGAATTTCTTTTTGGGGTGATTAAAATGTTCTAAAATTGATTTAGTGATGGATGTGTAATTCTTTGAATACACTAAGAGCAATTTAATTGTATACTTTAAATGGGTAAATTATATGATATGTCAATTTTATCTCAATAAAGTTGCTATAAAAAGGGAGAGTGATGTTAGAGCTGGTAAGCTGTGAATTTTTAATAATTCTGGGTACCCTCATGGTGGTGTGGGCTGTCACACATTTGTCTCTGCAGGAAAAAACAAACAAACAAACAGGATAATTGCTAGAGTTAAAAGGAAGCCACCACAAGAGGTTTTAAACAGGAAAATGACATGATCACATTAGTATGAGGGTAAAATAAATGGTTGGATCTGAAAGTTTTAGGAGGTAAAAGCTAAGAAATTTGTTGAATGAATGGATATCAGAGGACAATGAAGGGTCAAGCATCAGGCTCAAAGGTGGGGAATATTGTAGAAAAAGAAAATCTGTCTTTCTACAATTACTTTTGCATACACTGGGACAGAGAGAGCACTGTGGAACATCTAAGTGGAGAAGTCTGGTAGGCAATTGGGTATCAGGTATGAAGCTCAGCCAACAGACCAGATGCAGACATATACATATATATCTGAAGGTTATCAGTACATTATGATGATTGCTGAGGCCAGGGCAATGAGACTACATAAAAGGAAAGATGGAGGGATCAAAAACTGAACCCTGGCATACATCATTATTCAAGGGCAGGTAAGAGTAAGAAAAGGACACAATAGAAAGAGAAAAAATGAAAAGAGAATAGAACCAGAGAGGTAAATACATTCAGGTCCTCCTAGATTGCCTACCTGAACCACTCGCTCATGGACAGTAAGGACTGAGTCCAGGAACATTTTGCTGCTTTGGTCTTGCACCTGCAATATCTCCATGGTTTTAGTGGGCATCGCATAACTGTGGGAAGAAGAGTCACTGTTGGGAGCATTCATTTATACCAGCAGCACTAATTCAATCAGGGTTGTCTATGCATACAGCCACCTCTGCATACAGCCACCTCTGCATACAGCCACCTCTGCATGGAGTAGTTTATAGAATCTAGGGGATGCTTATCTGCACCCAGAAGCAAAGTAACCAGATATCCTTTACCTCTTCCAGAAGTCCCTAAAGTTTTTGAGGAACTACACTAAAACCTTTCTGCATCCCCAAGTATATTTTAATACAACATTATAATGCTATGGATGAATCCTGGTGATAAATAAGCATTCACTGCCACACACGTATAGCTAATTCTAAAAGAATGAAATTTATCACTAGGTATGCTTTGGAGTCTAACCTTGGGTATTTCACTTACCCTGGAGAAAGAAATAAGGCATGAAACCCAATTGTTCTAGAACAGGATTTTTCAACCTGAGCAATACTGATATTCTGGACAGGATAATTCTGTGTTGTGTACCCCCACTCTTCTGACTGGATGTCATTAGTGAACCCCAAATAATGACAAAATTATCTCCAGACATTATCTAAATAACCCAGGTACAGAACCACTGTTTTACATTTGATATAATCAGCTTCGGCAGACCTACATGCTGCAGTGAAAAGAACAATGGACTTGCAGTCAAGTGTTGGCCTTGCCATTTATAAGCAATACTTACTTAGGTAAGTCATTCTCCAGATTCTTCAGGTATAAATGCAATTACAACCTGGGCTATATCAATACACATTGTGAGGAATGGGTGTGGTGATGCAAATAGGACTGACAGAACAGGTTATGCAATAATATTGTATTAGTGGTGTTTTCATCTGATCAAAAAAAGTTGATCAAATCAATGACAAATAAAATAATAATAATGATAGTAGGAATCCTGGTTTTTCATGCCTCACAAAGTTTCATCATTTAACAGCAAAGGGCATGGCCCTCTGTAGATAGACCTGCAATGATTTAATAAGATTACATAAGTAATTTGCTTGGCATACCACATCCATATTCTTTGCCCACATAAACAGTCAGCAAGTGCTGGGTATTGCAACCTCTATCAAGTAGCTTCTCTAAATAACATCCCCTCCCACTTTTCAATACAATTCTGATCTCCTCTTCACGTGATTCAAATATAGTAATTACTCCTGATATGAAAAAATGGGGATACAATCATAGACTACTTATGCTTATAGAAGACTAATAAAATAATTATGTGGAAGCTTTCAGAAAGTTTTTTTTTTTAAGCACTCTAAAATGCTATTTTTCCTTTATGGCATTCTGCAGACAGGGCTGACTCAGGGCTACAGGTGTAGCTCAGTGACAGAGGGTATGCCTAGCATAGGAGAAGCCCAGGTTTGATCCCCAGCACACACACACACACACAAAAAAAAAAAAAAATTAAAAAAACAGATTGACTAAAGCAGGTGTTATCTATTCTTGTCATTAATCATGGGTTTCATTCTTCAATACTTAAGATTTCCTTGATTTTTTTATTTATTTGATTCAATAAACATTTACTAAGTCTGTTCTGTCCTAGACACTTTGGGGCAAATGCAATCTATGTTTTCAAGGAGCTCACTGAGCATTTCAGAGAGACAGATAAACACATACATTGGCACTGTAGAAAGACAGAGGCTGTCACAGTATGTGAACAGTGTAGGGACAAGAGGCGGAGAAGTGGGGCTTGTGGAAGGCTTTATCAAGGTGTAAGGAAGGAGCACAGATGCTTCTGGAGGGCATTCCAAGAAGGTACTGGCAGTATCTACAAAGGCAAAGGACAGGAGAGGCCCTCAAAGAGAGTCAACAGAAAACCAGACATACTTTGATAAAGAAATACTGGGAATTCTGGACATTTCAAAGTAGAAAAGACTGTAAGTAAACAGAGTACAGGTAATTTTTCTTCAGGATTTATATATTTCCATACTCTCCACTTTTTCTGCAATAAACTTATTTGGATGATCAGAGAGTAAAAACAGAAGGGAAGAAATGAAATAACAGAATTTTAAGAGTCAACCCAACATGACAAAACCATGCTACCTTTGGGAAATATCACCTGAGAGGGACTCAAGGAACCTACTGGACTGTTGGGGACTCAAAATCTGTGTGTTTTATATATAAATCATACTTACATAACAATTTTGAAAAACATAAGTGGATTTAAAAAAAATAAAAGAGGAAAGAGTAGTGTCACAATGAGTGATGCTGAGGGATGCTTCATTCGCCATGGGGCACTGGGCTGGTCAGCTTCAGGCATGGAAGCTGCTCCCAAGTGAGAGAGATTTCCATTTCTCCAGGCTGCCTCCAGGAAGGGATGCAGGCCAATTAAGAGGCCCACAGGAGAGGCTCTTCCTCTCGCCTCCATGAGTTGCAGCTGTCACAGGAAGACCATGGATAGAACGAAATCCAGCACACTGCTCACTCACTCTTTAGCCCCATCCCAACTCAAGGTCATAGCTATCATCCTCACCACCACAACTCTCAGCTCCAGAGGAAAAAATGGACCCAAATGAAATGAAAATCAAGAAAACAGTCTCATCTCTGAAAACCTGGGCAGTGAGAATGACTAACAATACAATAGGCTGAAAACCTCAATCAATCAGAGGAGTTGTTAAGAACAAACAGTTCTTTATGTTCCAAGCCATTTGGGGCAAAGACAGGAAAGAGGCAAAAAGAGGCGTATCAGTCATTCTACTGTTCTAGGAAATGTCTATGCCAGTTAGTACTCAATCCAAATCAGTAAGTATTTATTCAGTGCCTAAGTGTGTCAGGTACTAGACTAGTTCTTAGGGTTAGGCCAGTAATAAAGATAGAAGCAGTCTTTGCCTTACAGAGCTCAGAGTCTAATAGGAAAGACCAATCATAGTCAAACAATTACAAGGTTAGAGAATGCATGTTATGAAAGGGTAGTTATATACCCTTTATTTCTCCTAAATATATAAGAGTGAAGACCTAACTTAATGAGCTTCCATGAAGAAATACTATTCAAGATGATGCCTAGGAAAAATGTAGAGATGAAGGGTTATAAAACATATTCAAAGGCCCTGAAGTAGAAATCAACAAAAATCAAGACAGTAACTGGAGGCAGAGAGAAAAGGGAAGAGAAAAGTAAGGTAAGGTAAGGGGGCAAACCCAGGCCATGGAGCACTAGCAAGCCAGGGGAGGAACATTTATTTTGATACTAAAGGAGTGGGAAGCCATGAAGTGGGAAGGGAGTGGGAAGCATTTTAAGTAGGAGAGACATTATCACATTTCCATTCTAGAAAGATTACCCCAAATGCTTTGTGGAAAATTTGTTAGACGAATTGAGTACTATGGGGAGAATGGGGAAGTGGGTTCAAATCCAGACTTTACCACTAATTAGGTATAGGGGGAGAATGGACAAGCTTTAATAATAATAATATTAGTAGTCAAGAGTTGCTGGGCAGGGGCTGGGGATGTGGCTCAAGCGGTAGCGCGCTCGCCTGGCATGCGTGTGGCCCGAGTTCAATCCTCAGCACCACATACAAAGACGTTGTGTCCGCCGAGAACTAAAAAATAAATATTAAAAAAAATTCTCTCTCTCTCTCTCTCTCTCTCACTCTCTCTCTCTATAAAAAAAAAAAAAAAAAGATTTGCTGGGCATAGCCGGGAGCAGTGACACATGCCTGTAATCCCAGTGGCTCAAGTGGCTAAAGCAGGAGGATAGTGAGTTCAAAGCCAACCTCAGCAACAGGGAGGCACCAAGAAACTCAGCGAGATCCGGTATCTAAATAAATATACAAAAAAGGATGGGGATGTGGCTCAGTGGTTGAGTGTCCCTGAGTTCAATCCCCAGTACACCCCCCCCTCTGAAAAAAAAAGAGTTGCTGGCATAGTTCTAAGCACTTTAAATATGCTAGTTCCCCCATACTCAGTAGGCTGAGGTAGGACAATTGCAAGTTCAAGGCCATCTGGGTAACTTAGCAAGACCCTGGAGATATAGTTAAATGATAGAATACCTCTGACTTCAATCCCTAGTGCTGCAAATAAATAAAAAATAAACAGACAAATATTTAAATAAATGAATGAAAGAACTGTTTCCCTTAATTTTCATTATCCAATTTCATTCATCCTTTTTAAAAATATTTATTTTTTAGTTGTAGTTGGACACAATATCTTTATTTTGTTTATTTATTTTTATGTGTGTGAGAATCGAACCCAGGGCCTGGCATATGCTAGGCGAGAGAGCTACAGCTGAGCCACAACCCCAGCCCTTCATTATATCCTTTTTAGGTAGGCTCTTTTATTAACCAGATGAGGAAATCAAGGCAAAAAGAGGTTAAATAAACTGCCAATGTCACCCAGTAAGAATGCAGTAGAATAAGAATAAAACCCAGGCAGGTTGGCTCCAGAGTTGATGCGTTGATAAAGTAGGTACAAGGTGCTTGTTTGAATTAAGTAAGACAATAAAAATATTTAGTCTTTTCAAGTGTCTGGATGATATTAGTGCTCATATTCAACATATGTTACTGCCTTCCTGCCTTCTACTCAAATGCAGGCAGGGCTTCTCATAGATGTGTTTTTATTTATTTATTTTTTAAGAGATGGGATCTTGCAATGTTGCCCAGACTGGCCTTAAATACTGGGCTCAATCTCTCCAGTAGCTGTCATCCTAGAGTGGATTAGTTCCCTGAAATATTGTTTTTTTTTAATATTTATTTTTTAATTATAAGTGGACATGTGTCCGGCAAGCACTCTACCACTGAGCTAGAGCCGAAACCTCAGAGTTTTTAAAGGTAACATCTTTTTTTATTTATTTTTTTAATACTGGAGATTGAACCTGGGCACTCAACCACTGAGCCACATCCTAACCCTATTCTTTTTTTGTATTTTACTTAGAGACAGGGTCTCACTGAGTCGCTTAGCATCTTGCTTTTGTTGAGATTGGCTTTAAATTCTCAATCCTCCTGCCTCAGCCTCCCAAGCCACTGTGATTACAGGCATGAGCCACCGCACCAAC